CACTGGACCAATAAACAACATTCTTATCAATGGAGAAAAGATTCAAATTGTCAAGGGCTTCATTCTTCTTAGATCAACTATCAACACTCCTAGAAGCAGCAGTCAAGAAATCAAACGATGTGATGTATTGCATTAGGTAAATCTGCTGCATAAGACCTTTTTAAAGTATTGAAGAGCAAAGATGTCAGCTTGAGGACTAAGGTGTGCTTGACCCAAGCCATGGTATTTTCAATAACCTCATATGCATGTATGGGTCGGAACCGACTCGATGGCACTTAACAACAACAACAACATATGCATGCAAAGACTGGACAGTGAATAAGGAAGACTGTGAATAAGGAAGAATTGATGCTTTTGAGTCATGGTGTTGGAGGAGAATATTGGAAGTGCCACGGGTTTCCAAAAGAACCAACAGATCTGTGTTGGAAGAAGTGCAGCCAGTGTTCCTTGGAGGCCAGGATGGCCAAACTTCGTCTCTCATACTTCGGACATATTGTCAGGAGGGACCAGTTGCTGGAGAAGGGTATCATGTTTGGTAAGGTGGAGGGTCAGAGAAAAAGAGGAAGACCCCCAGTGAGATGGATTGGCAAAGTTGCAGCATCAGTGGGCTCAAGTGTGGCAACAATTGTGAGGTTGGCCCAGGGCCGGGCAGTGTTTCGTTCTGCTGTGCATTGGGTCACTATGAGTCAGCACTGACTTGATGGCACCTAACAGCAACAACAGGACAGAGTAGAACTTCCCCATAGGGTTTTCAAGGCTATAAATCTTTACAGAAGCAGATTGTCATAGCTTTTAACCCCGAACTGCCAATGGTTAGCAGCTGAGCACTCAACCATGTGCCACCAGGGCTCCTTCTGAAGCACAAGTCTATAGGACAGCATTAGCCTAGGCTGTCCTCCCAATTGGAACAGGGAACACCTCGAGCAGCATTTATTACTAGCAATGGGAACCTCATCATTACTCATTTTTATGGGAAAATATGCCAAGTTCTAATGCTTGACATAGTAAGTAATGTGGATGACTCATGACTCTAACTGGTCTCTAAATTTGAAATCAGCCTTTATTATATGCATTGAGACTTAATGGGGTTGTGTAAACAATTTCAAACTGTAACCTTAAGACATCACTGCAATCTTCATACTTAAAGACTCTACTTAAATGTCAGCAGTTAGCCCAATAATGTCCTTAATAGTAAAAGGATAGAATCAGACATTGTATTTAGTTTTTAGTCTCCTTCAAACTGAAATAGTTCTTCCATCTTTGTGACTTTCATGACCTTGAAACAAGTGAGGACTATTTTGTAAAATGCCCTTGTTTTGTCTGATTAGATTTAGTTTCTAATCTTTTGCACAATAATGTGTTCATCCCATTGTAACCCGTAAGTAGAATAGTTTTGAATTGTCCTGTATCAGTCTTTATTATCTGCTGGCTTCCCTGTACTCCTTTTGTAATTAACAAGTATCCCCTTCCTTACCCAACTTTCAACTCATTTATTTGTAATAGCATGGATTCCTGTTTTCCCAATGAGTTACAATCCAGTACTATCATATACAATTACTTTGATGCTCAAATTTCCCCATATCTTGTGGATTCTATGTACTTTTGGCATGTCTCTTCTTTCCTTAGGTATAAGAAAATCTCCCACTCCATCTTGTACTTTCCTGCCCTGGCCTGGAAGCAGCCATTTCTCCTTTTATTGGAAAATAGGTTTTCTCTGGACAGAGCTAGCGAATATATGTATTCCCTACATATATAAATACATTGGCCATCTGTATTAACACTGAAATTTATTTATTTAGTTCATGCCAATACCTCATTCCATTTCAACACCATAGGTTTCATTCTAGTTTTTCTCTTCTGTAACTTTTCTCTGATAATACTAGTTCCCATCAATATATGATCTCAAATTACCAGCACTGCCTACCCAAGTGCCCTTTCCTCTCAACCCTACACCCTCACTTCTTTTATTAAAATATACTTAAAAGACGTCTTGTAGAATGAAACCAAAAAACTCTAATAAAACCACTTTGAGATTAATTTTCATATGAACTGGGTGTTTATTAAGCTACAACTGTTGATTTTGTATGATAGCTATACAAGAAAAAATTTTTAAGTCCTTATCCTTTATATTTTTTAAATTCCTTATTGTGAAGTAGTTTATAGAGCAGATTGTATTATAGTCACAAATCACACTGCATCTCAATGATTGTAATTCCCTCAATGTAACATCACTTGTTCTACATAGTCCCTGTTTCTTATTTCCATTTCTTTCTTAAACCTTGATTTTTGTTTTAATCCTGAATGATTGACCATTTTCTGGAGCTCTGGTAGCGTAGTGGTTACGAATTGGGCTGTGAACTTCAAGGTTAGCAGTTCTAAACTACCAGTGGTTCCGCGGGAGAAAGATGAGGCGTTCTGCTCCTGTAAAGATTTACAGCCTAGGAAACCCTGTGCAGGGTTGCTATGAGTCGGAACCGACTCCACAGCACTTAACAACATACCTCACTAGTTGTCTTTCCTATGTTATCTATTGCTTGGCTGGAAATTCAGCCATTGGGTGAATTAAGTTCCAGACCTGAATGACAACCAAGGGTCTTGGAGTTCCACCAGTCTCTGGCCAGTAAGCCTGGTCTTTATGATTTTGAGTTTTGTTCCACATGTTCTCCCACCCTATCTAGGACCTGCTAATGTGTTCTCAGAGCAGCTGGTAGTGGTAGGCAGACACCATCTAGTTTGTCTCAGGGTCAGAGATTGATTTCATGTGGTCTATTAGTCCATTCGATTAATTGTTCCAAACTACTTCAATTTTCATCACTCTTTCTTCTTCCAGGCAAGGAGAAACCAACAGTTGTACCTTAGATATATACTTTTAAGATCCACCATACTTTTAAGCTTCTCACCAAAGGAAGATGTACAACTTTGTCTTTGTGAACTATCAGACCAGTTGATCATGTCTCACCCTCATTCCTCACCCCGCCTCCAACTATATCCTGAGCCCCAGGTTCAGCAACACATTCCCTTTGCCTTCTGCATGCTCTACCACATTCATGGATGTTTGTAGTAAAAAATTTCTACCCATGTATAAATATCTTTTATATATTCATGGGTATACTCCCAATTTTCTTCCTCCACCTGTTCAGCCTGTATGTCTGTCCATATAGATATATTCTTGTATGGAGTTAATTATTTGAAAGTTATATGTTTGAAAATTTCTAATAATAATAAAGACAAGAGGCAGGTCTGTGTATAGCACTGAAATTTATTAAGATGGAATTACTGCTAATTACACAGAACTTCCCTATGCCAAAATCCATGAGGTTCACACGAACTTACACAAATTAGACACAGATGGCATATTTATAACCACAAGAAAATATCCGGATACCCAAGTGATGTAGACTGGCGTAAATGAGTCTGTACATTTATTTCAAGCCATTAAAGAGTTTGTGGGCCACCTAGATAGGAGAAAGAAAAAGATGTCACCAACTGGCAACTTTAAATGTCAAGTTTTATAAGGCCCTTCATGACGTCTCTTCAAACCAATCCGCCTTTTCACTCATGTACCCACATTGCACTTAAGCCCTTCAGCTACTTGAATATTATCTTCCTTCTACCTGAACTATCTTTTCCACATTTTTCATCTTTTATTTTCCCTTTAGAATTTAGTTTGCATGTAATTTTTTATAAATCTCATAAAGATTTAAGTTTCTATCCTACAGAAATCTGTCACTCTTCTGCCCTCACCTTCCATATCACAAATAACATCTGCCTATTATGTAGTTGTTTATTCTCGTTAAGTGTCGTTGAGTTGGTTCTGATTCATAGTGACCTTGTATAGGGTTTCCAAGGAGCCAGGTGGTTAGCTTGAACCACTGACCTGGTGGCTCATTAAATAAAAAAGGTAACTTCTGATAGGATAAATGCTATGAGGAAAATAAAATAGAAGTCGGGGGAAGACTACCTACTTTAGATAGGGTAGTCAGTGAAAGCACCCTAAAATGGTCACATCCAAGAGACTTACCCATAGTCTACTAATAGTCTATTCTATTCCCATCTCCTATGTGGCTCATAAACAATAAAGTAAGGAATCATGCTTGTCTAATTTATAAATATCGACATTCTCAGATCTTAATACAATGTCTAGTTCTTAAGTCTTTAAATATTTATTGAATGAATAAAAAGGGGAAAAGGCCTAAAACAGATCACAATTAGCTCATTTTGGACTTTTCAAATAAATGGAATAATTTAATAATGTGTAGTACTTTGGAACTGGCCTTTTGTATTTAGCATGTTTTCAAGGTTCACCATTGTTTAACAATATATTTTTTTACTCAAAATAATATTCCACTGTACCAGTGCAACTCCCAGTCAATGTACCTCAAAGCATAGCCACCACCTCTCAGTGGAGGCTTAGATGCTGCAGTGATGCTGAACAGGCTTCAGTGGCTCTTACCAGACTAAGACAGACTAGGGCCTGGCGGTCTACTTTGGAAAATCAGTCAATGAAAACCTTATGGGTCATAATAATCCAATTCTGTGTGCATGTGATTGTCATGAGTTAAGAGGCAGATTTGATGGCAGTTAACAAATAGATATAATAAACTTTACCCATTTAGGAATCCCCAGGTGACAGAAATGATTAAGTGCTTTACTACTATCTAAAAAGCTTGGCAGTTCAAAGCCTCCAGAGGAGTGTCAGAAGAAAGACCTGGTGATCTACTTCTGAAAGATCCCAAGCATTGAAAACACTTTGGACCAAAGTTCTACTCTGAAATGCATGGGGCCACCATGAGTCAGAATCAATTCAAATTAGTTTGGTTTATTTATCAATTCATCAAGTTGATGGACATTTATATTATTTCTATCTCTTGGTTATTATTAATAATGCTGCTATAAAATTTTATGTACAAATATCTTTATAGATGCTGTAGGCACTGGACTGCTAACTGCAAGGTCTCCAATTCAAAACTACCAGTAGTTCCTTGAAAACCCTATACAGGATCGCTATGAGTCGGAACTGACTCAATGGCGCTTAACATCTGTTTGAGGATTCCTTGGGCATATACCTAGCAGTAGAATTACTGGGTTTTAATAACTGTGGGACTGGCCAAATAATCTTTTGAGGCCATCAAAACCTGCCAGATTGTTTTCCACAGTGACATTCCTCACTAGCAGGGTATGGTTCCAATTTCTCCACATCTTTGCCAATACTTGTTATTGTCTATTGATTATAACCATCCTAGTCCCTGAGTGGCAAAATGCTAACCAAAAAAAAAAAAAAAAAAAAATCAGCCCTTGAAAAATCCTAGAGGACAGTTCTCTGAAACACAAGGGGCCACCATGAGTTCCAATAAATTAACAGTAAAAGAGAAAAAACAGTGGCTGTGAAGTGGTATCTCATTGTTTTGATCTATATTTCTCTGTTAGTTAATGATACCGGGCATATTTTCATATTGTTATTAGTCAGCCAGTTTTAACATAAAAACCATACCAAACTTTGCCTAAGTATAATTAATTGCATGTAAAATATCTTGCTGTTATAAGACTCAACAAAATTTACATTAAAAAAAAGAGTTTTTGGATTAACTACAATATGTAAGATACACTGAAGGATATAAAGTATTTTAAAGAACTGTTTAAAATGAAGATAATGATCTTTATCTCCATTGGAAGTGCTACTAATAAGCTTATTTAGATAAAGCGTTCAGCACTGTCCCTGACATATATTGGTTCCATAGTAAATGTTTTTTTAATGGACCTGGCACTACAATGAAAAATTTGTCAGTAGCAAGTCTTCCCTGGCCAATGTAAGCCTTCCTCCTCCTGACTCAGGTTGACTTACGCAGTGGTCCCTTGCATGAAGGAAGTCAAAGAGCTCCTCTGTGCAATCCTCCTCTGTCTGCGACCGGGATGATACACGTTCATCACAGAGCTCGAGTCGCTCCCGGGCCTTTACACATTTCTCTATCTGCTCACATTGCTCTCTCACTGTTGTTAGGGGATCCTGAGGATAAACAAAAAACAAAATGGGAGGTTTTAGGAGACCCACCAAATCATATGCTTTTATTAACACAACCACCAAACAAAGGTGCTGCCTTTGAATTACCATGCAGAAGAACAGCTGGCAGAACCAAAATACTGCCAGAAATAACAGAATGGGGTCTCCTATTCAAATCTGATGCTAAGTAGTAGGGAAAAGTTTCACATTCCTGCCTTCCAAGGTTGCCAGTATGCACTGAAAGCCTCAGTCCTATCTGAAAAACAAGGTTGGTAAAGGAAACCTGGCCAAACTGGACGTAAATCTTACTTGTTAACACAGCATTTTGTGATGAGTTATGTCTGTGAAATTTTAATTCCTCATTTGTGAAACTAAAAAGGCAATGTTAATACGAGAAAGGACCCACCTAAGAAGGATTGCTCCTAAAGTTTTTTTATTAAACTACAAATAACAGATGATTGAGTGCCAGGTCCTCAGGACGACGCTCTGCTCATGACTGGAGAAGGAAGAAGCCTCAAACCCAGAAGACTCAGCTTCCCAAGCTGAAACTCTCAAATACTCCACTGCACAGAAAGGAAGTACTGGAGGCTTATTCCACTTCCGTAATCTCCAAGGTGTCAAGTAAAGACTCCTCAAAATGCCTTTAAAGTTTCAATTCAAAACTTCCTGCTTTACTGAGATGGTTCCAAACCTGAAACAGTTCTTACCACTAGTTCCTCCTCCTCTTCCTCCTACAAAAGAAAAAACAAAATCAATGTCAGTAGTAATTTTATGACATATATACCTTCCCATCACTTTGATGGTGTAATTACTGAGAAAAGACACACCATCTTACTTTCATTGGAAACAACTCTACAATTTATAAAAGGACCTTCCTATCTGTTATATTATTCACAACAGCCTCTTAAAGACTTAAGGAAATAATCTCAGTTTAAACATACCAAGTAGTAAATGGACATAGTCTGAATAGATTCAAGCTGTTAGGTGTTCATATGAGAACTATATAACTTATCTGGATAAATAGTTAAATTTAGTCTTTACATCCGAAACCAAGTCAGGCCCAAGAGGAAAATTGATTTTTTAACACTCTTACGTGGAATTTGGTAACGCAAATGGCCAAATAAACTCTTTTTCAGTTGGAGTTTTTTGACTTGCTGAACTCTTACATCCTAAGTAGACCAAGTGTCAATAAATGTGCACCAAAAAGTCTACATTATGCTACCCATGGGTCCTACCCACTTACTCCTTTTATTTTCTGGAAGGGGAGTAGTGTGAAGTGCATTGGGCTGCTAACTGTAAGGTTAGCTGTTCAAACCCACCAGTCGCTCCAAGGGAGGAAGATGAGGCTCCAAGGGAGGAAGATTTAGGGACTGCCTAGATTTATTAACTCTGCATATGGTCACTGACTGAGAACTGATTCCATGGCAGTGGGTTTGGTTTATACACAGCAAAACACTTATCAATGAAAAATTTTCTACATGTTCAATTCAACAACACTGGTTATACATTTCAAGTTGTCCTGCCTTTCTTAATATCCTTTCTGAACAGTTTCACAATCATTAATACAAACTCACTGACTCCTAAGCACGTCTAATCTAACCTTTTGAGTTGCTTTTGTCAATTGATATAGGTAATTCTTTAAAAGAACATTCAAGGCAGACATTCTTAATTAAACAAAACAATTGCTTTGGAATTGACACTGTGGCAGTGGGCAGGGTGTACATTATTTATTAAGCACTTACAATATTCCAGACTGAGTCCTGGTGTGGCGCTATAACCACTAGCTGCTCCTGTGAAACCCTATATTGAAGTCAGAACTGACTTGATGACATTGTTTCGGTAAAGATGATTTCAGAAGATAGTTTTGAATTAAATATTTCCTCAAGGCAATTGTTTCAGGGGTCATTCAGCCTCTGTGACTCCATAAAGTCTGGACTCCATGGAAATCTGTTGTCTGTCTGTCCCATATCTTCTCTCCCTGAACCTCCCAAATGATCAAGGTAAATGAGTACATTTACTTTGGATTCAAGCATTCAACCTCAAATTTAATTTCCTTTCTTTGGGGGGAAGAATATGAAAAAATTCTCCTTGGGAGCATCAGCATAAACTGGAATCTGGGGTATTCATAAAGTTTATACTCTGCATCTCAGGTTGGTGAGTAGTGTCTGGGTCTTAAGAACTTATATGTAGCCATCTAAGATACTGGTCTCTGCTCATCTAGAGCAAAAGAGGAAGATAAGAAACTAGTCTACAGGACTGCCTACACAAACCATGGTTTAATACCCAAAGACCAAAATAATCAGATTGTGTCCAACTACTACTACCGAGTCCTGGTGTGGCGCTGTGGGTTAATGCGCCAGACTGCAAAGCCATTTGAACTGCAAGGTTGGTGGTTCAAGCTCACCAGCTGCTCCTTGGAAACCCTATACAGGGTGGCTATGGGTCAGAATCGACTCAACAGTACTTAACAACAACCACTACTGATTGTTTTCATCAGGGCCACAAGAGATGGCCCTGAAGAGAAAAATTTGGAACAGACCTCAAATTAAAAAGTCCAGACTTTTTTGGTCAGTTGAGACTTGAGGACTCCACACGACTATGACCCTGAGATACTCCCAACCTTATATTATCCTGTGATCATCTTTATTTTGGCTCATGAAAATAAAGAATATCTTCCATTAGTATGTTGTTGTTATTGTTAAGTGCAGTCGAGTCATTTCTGACCCATAGAGACCCTGTATAGGGTTTCCAAGGAGCAGCTGGTGAGCCTGAACCACCAACCTTGCAGTTCAAACCGACTTTGCAGTCTGGTGCATTAACCCACAGCCCCACACCAGGATTCCTCCATTAGTATGGTGCTCTTTTAAAGAGTTATCTCCAAAAGACAAATTGTTGTGAAGGTTAAGGGGCAGGGAAACTACACTATTAGAAATGAAATAACCAAAATGGAAGTAATGAGATTGTTAACACACTGTAAAGAATGTAGGAACCTAGTTTAATGTGTAAACTTTCACTGAAAACACACTAAAGTATTACTTCTAAAAGTCACCCGCCTACTCCCCCCCAAAAATAAGTATTTGTCTGCCTGTATATGCAGGTATTCACATTTAGTGGAAGGGAAAGAAACAGAAATAAGGTAAATTTAAAAGAACTAGTAACCCCTCATTATTTTTTCAACATTCCAACAAAATCGGCTTCATTCTCTGCCATGCCCTTTGGGAAAGGTACCAAAACTCTGTCAAGCTGGGAGTGAGAAGCAGGGTAACCCACACCAGAAAAACAAATCCAATGCCATCAAGTTGCTTCCAAATCATAGTGACCCTATGTTGTTGTTAAGTGCTGTTGAGTCTTTTCCAACTCACAGGGGCCCTGTATAGGGTTTCCAAAGCTGTAAATCTTGTGGGAGCAGGAAGTCTTATCTTTTTCCCATGGAGAAGCTGGTGTGCTTAGTCTGCTGACCTTGTGGTTTGCAGCCAGAGCTTATCAACAGAGCCCACCATGCTTCCCTACAGGACAAAGTAAAACTGTTCCTTAAGTTTCTGAAATTAAATCTTCATGGGAGCAGCCAGCCTCATCTTTCTCCCAAGAAGTGGTTAGTGGGTTTGAAATGCCAACCTTGCAATTTAATTCTCAAAGTTGGCAAAGGTATCTTTAAAATGCTATAAAGGGTGTAAATCCTAGTTTTTCATTAAGCATGATTTTTTCACTTTTTATATATTCATAATGAAAAATTTCCCCCCCAAGAAAACAGAATTATAGTCTCTACAAATTATTATTGTCAAATGCCATCAAGTCAGTTCAGACTCATAGAGATGCTATACAAGGTTTCCAAGGATAAGCTGGTGGGTTTGAACTGCCCACCTTGCAGTAGTAGTCCACTGTTTTATTCTACTGAGCCACACCAGGATTCAAATTGTTGTTGTCAAGCACTGTCAAGTTGATTCTGACTCATAGTGACCCTGTATAGGGTTTCTGAGGCGTGGTTTGTGGGTTTGACCTGCCAACCTCGCAGTTAGTCCGGTGCTTATCCTACAGCGCCACACCAGGACTCTAATTAGAAACCAGAAATTAGTATCTACCTGAGTTAGGAACCAGAAATCAAAAATTAGAACTCTGGAAGCAAGCCCTTTGATACCATTTCTCTATTAACAATGCCACAACACTGACAATTTTGTTCCAAAAATATCATGACCTCTTCTGGAGGAAAAAATCCAAACAAAAGTCTGAATATAGACTATTATTAAGTGCCATCCAGTTGGTTCTGACTCATAGTGAGCCTCTATAGGGTTTCCAAGGTCGTATATCTTTGTGGAACATAAATCCTTGTCTTTTTCCCAAAGGAATATAAACTACTTCATGTAAATTTCAAGTCACTGACAAAAACTAAGGTCACACTGGGGAAAAAAACAAACAAAAAAACAGGGGTTATGGCTTGCTCATAAAACCTCTAGTTTCCTGCATTTTAAAACTGACACTTATTTAGTCTTTTTCTCATCCGATTACAGTGGGGTTCTTCTAAACTTTCTGGTGTACTTCCCAAGGCTGGCATCACTTTCTGAAAAGACTGTTGTTGTCAGTTGCCTTCCAGTTGGCTCTGACTGATGACAACCCCATGCAGAACAAATTTCTGTCCTGCGCCATCCTCGTAATTTTTTTTATGTTTGAGCCCACTGTTGTAGTCAACATGTTAACCCACTTTACGAGAAAATAAGACTAGGAAAAATGAAGGGATAAACAAGTTTTCCAGCTATTATGAACCCATAATCCAGGCTCTGAAGGCACCACAGCAGAATGGATAGAAAATTAATGCTCATAATCACTGCAGAGAAGAGTCCTGGCACTGGAACCAGGCTGCCTGGGCTCAATTCCTGTTGCCACCATTAACAAATCTGTGTCCTTAGACAAGACACAGCTGGACTGCTCCTTAGAAGCGAGAACAGAGAGACTTTGTCTCTTGTACTTTGGACACACTGTCAGAAGGGACCAGTCCCATGAGAAGGACATGAAGTGGAGAGTCAGTGAAAAGGAGGAAGCTCCTCAAGGAGATGGAATGACACAGTGGCTGTAACAATTGTGAGGATGGTGCAGGGCCAGGCAGTGTTTTATTCTGTTGTACCAAGTGACTCATTGACACCTATCAACAGCATTTTATCTGTAAAAAGGAAATGTTGCCGGTGTTGGTAAGTGCCGACTCAGGTCCTGTACAGGTTCCAACTCATAGCAACCATGTATAGAGTTTCCCAGGAGCAGCTGGTGGGTTTGAACTGCCAATCTTGTGGTTTGCAGTCCAGTGCTGATCCACAGCACCACACCAGGAATCCAAAAAGACAGTTATAATACCTAATACCTACCACACAAGAAAACTGTGTGGAATAAAGACAATACACATAAAACGTTTGAAATGATAGTTAAGAAATACAGGTTATTAGTATCACATCTACATTTTTGCTCTGGGGAAGACCTCCCACTTTCATCACAGAACTATACTGCATCTTCCTACGTAGATCCCAAACACCCCTCTCCTCCAAAAAACTCAAGCACCTTAAACAGTTCCTTTACAGGAACTAGCATGAGGCCCGATCTCCTTAACCTCTGTAGAAATGTGGCGGGAATTCGTAACTTGAACGGGAGCGAGGGTTAAAGTTGGTCTGTTAGCTACCCAAACCTGTCAAACCACGGTGTCAGAACACCTGACTATTAGTATAATTTGTAGAAATGTATCAAATTTTTCTTTTTCACAAATTTAGTTTGCACAACGTTTTCAATCACGTTAAAAACGTTCATCACGTTTATGGAATTGGGAAGTCCAGAGAAAGACCAGTTAATGACTCATCCAAGATTTAAAGAAAGGCTTTTAAGAAGGGTTAGGGAACCAGCTCTCTCTTCCGACCCTGGTGAGACGCCAGGCCCAAGACGACCCCCGGCCTGGTTTTGGAGAGCTAGGTCCCGGGCCTCAGGCCACTGAAGAGGATCGAATCTTACCTCCTTAGGATCTCCGGCCCCGGTTAGCATCTTTCGCTCGTCCTCCAGCCCCATGTCCCGCTCCGGTTCTGGATTCAAGAACAGTAACAACAGCGGCAACAACTCCTCTCCAAGATTAAGAAGGACTAGTAAGGGTCACTCAGCGGATATCCGGCAATTGAGCCGGAAGTGCGGCATATTTATCGTAGTGGCGAACAGACGCTCCGATTGGCATGTACTACCAACCAAAGACAGAAAGCAGGGGTAACTGGTATTTACACCTGAGGTGATATTGCCAAGAAATATGCCCTTAGCCAAGTAATACCCAAATATATTGATCTATGATTTTACGTAAAGTGGTAATTTCTAACAGGCTTGAGAAGTATGCTGATTTCGTCGACCTTCCTTTATCATAAATGCCATCCGTAACCCACATCACTGATGAAGTGTTCCTAACTGCTGACCTTCTCAAGATGGCGGTCCGCGTGTGTCAATCTTGGGCTCGCGCACCTCCCCAAGATGGCGGCGCCCGAGGCCTGGCGCGCCCGGAGTTGCTGGTTCTGTGAGGTAGCGGCGGCAACGACCATGGAGGCCACGTCCCGGGAGGCGGCGCCAGCGAAGAGCTCGGCCTCGGGCCCCAGCGCTCCCCCCGCCCTGTTCGAGCTGTGCGGGCGGGCTGTGAGCGCCCATATGGGGGTTCTGGAGAGTGGGGTGTGGGGTAAGTCGCGGGGTGAGGGGCTGCCTCTTGCAATGAGCGGGGGCGGCCGGGGGGCGCGGGGGGCGAGGCCGGGAGGCCCGGGGCAAGGCCCAGCCCGGGGCAGTGGAAGCCAGACTGTCGGGCTGGAGGATGAATTCCTTGACTGGCCGAACAGGATAGAGTAATGACGGAGCCCAAACTAACAGGTGAACTTGTACCGCGGCCTGGCTGGGGGGCGCAGAGGGTAAGGCCTGGAAGCCCAGAGGCCCGGGCTGCGCGAAGCAGCTTGGGCCCGGACGACAGAGGTTGGAATGACGGGCCAGGGCGGTGGACACCGAACTGACGTTCGCGCTGTTGCAGGCAGGGTAGTCGGCTGTGGAGCCGTCGGGCTGGGATAGCCCGATAGCCTGGGGGCGGGGGCCTAGGTCGAGATGCTTGGCCTAAGGCAAAAAGGCCGGACTGGGAGCCACCGAACTGGACTGACGGCGGGGGCCGCGGGTACCTGTCTGACACCTCGGGTGCTAAAACTCCCGGAGGCCAAGCCGATAAACTGGGACCACCCAGTGGATTGGAGTGCGCGGGAATGGGGTTGGGGGAAAGACCGAAAGGCTCCGGGTGCAGGCCCAGGGCAAAAGTGAGTGAACTGACGAACCCGGGCCTCTAGTGCCAGACTGATAAAACGACTGATGAACGGCCCGAGCTGGGCCGGCCCGGGCCGGGCCCGGAGCACCCACCAGAGGCCACTCGGATTGGCCGCAGCGGCAAGGAAGGGCCCGCGAGTTAGTGAAAAGAGCCCCAAACGGGGTCAGCGAACGGAGGAAGCTGGAATAGTGAGCTGGCGGGCAGAACTCAGGAGGCCCAGGCCGAGCGCCGTCCTGGGAATCCCGGACTGACGGGCCGGCGCGATGGGAGGGGGCGCGTCGCCTCTAGGAGGCCTGGGGCCGAATGCGAGTGAAAAGAGGCCTCTGGCCGAGCGCGGCCGGGGCCAAAGGGCCCGGCCTCGGTCGACAGCACCCAGATTGAGCAGCAAAGGCGGGCGGGCCGGGCGCTGGTATAAGGGGCCAGGAAGGGCGGATCGCTTGCAGAGCTAGTTGGAGGCCGGTGGGCCGAGTAACGGAGGAGGAGGCCTCCAGCCAGATGGAGCTCAGGGCGCCCGAGCTGTGGGGTGCAAGCCGCCGGTTGACTGGCACCTGATGAGGGAAAGAAACTGAGGTCTGCGACTTGAGGACAGATAGTCAAGAGGGAAAAGTGAAGGTTCTGGGAAATAGGCCTGGTCGCAGGGGACAGGTGAGGCCTTGGGCCTGACAGAATAGTGGTGTGAGGGGGTGGGCGCCAGAGCCGGCGGGGCTGAAGTTGGATGAGGAGAGGGCAGGCCAGCCTGAGCGCCTGAGTTAGGGAAGAGGGTGGCGGAGAGCAGACCGACCCTGGGCCTTGTTAGAGGCCGCAGGGACTATTCCACGAGGAGGCCTCAAGGTGGGGGGCGGGGGCCTTAGCTTTTTCTGAGAGGAGGGCCTGATCAGGTCCTGAGAGCTTGAGGTCCCTGGATGGGAAGTTTTGGTTCAACCAAAATTTAGGGTTGGGGGCTGTAGGATAAGCCCCAAGCCCAGGAATTTAGGGTTGGGGGCTGTAGGATAAGCCCCAAGACTCAGGAGAGTCGTCAAGAAATCCATGGACTGTGGAGGTCCTTAGTAAGGCCGGTTGGGGCACCAACACTGATGAGGCCTAAGTGCCTTCTGTAGTGGGAGAAACTGCTAGAAATTCTCAGACCTGGGAAGAGAAAGGATTATGGAGGATGTCAGCTGAGCAGCTGAGGAAAATAATCAGTTTGACCTATGGAGAATGGGAGATTTCCAGTGGGTCTGGGTTGGGGGTTCAAAAGAATCCTGGGGACTGTGGGAAAAGGCTGGGTTAGCCTAGAACTTCCCGAATGCTGAACTTGGATGGGGGCAGGGGAGTGGACTGAGTTTTGGAACCCCAGGTTTTAAAGATGGAAGCTGGAAGGAAGCAAGAAGGGCCTGGCTTAATAGGGAAGGAGAAAGGAGAGGAGTTTATGGATAACACGGGCTGAGAACAGGGGATTTGGCAATGAGATGGGGTGGCGAAAGAAAGGGGACCAGATTGGAGGGGAAGGTGGTAAGAGGACATGGCTCTGGAGAAAGCATGTTATTTGTTGCTTCCCTCTACCCCCACCCCAAACAATGGAAAGTTTACTGAATGTCCCTTTTCCCCTCCTGTTTGTTATTATGAAGTGTGTCAAGTTGGTTCTGACTCATAGAGACCCTGTATAGGGTTTCCAGGGAGTTGCTGGTGGGTCTGAACCACTAACCTGCAATTTAAACTGACCTTGTGGGCTAGTGCTTATCCTACAGTGTCACACCAATACTCCCTCTGCTATTGTATAAAAAAAACAAAAAACAAACCTGTTGTAAAGATTCCAACTTCATCATTGTTAACTGATTGAGCCCTCGGCCAGGTTGAGATGAAATAGGAAGAAATCGATCTAAATCAAGTAAATATTCACACAAAAAAGTTGAATCAAGTAAGGCCTCTTAGAGTGACCAACTAAAAGGCTTGCTAAGAACTGCTATTTTGGAGGAAGGTTTGACATCCAGGTAAGTCTTCCTTGGAACTAGTGGATGGGCATTTTGTGTAGCGTGAGAGGGGCAAAAGACTAGGGAGAGGCAGCAAGAAAAAGTACAATAAGGAAATTTAGCTATATGAAAAAGGAGAGAGTAGAAAGAGATGAGAACAGGAAGTAGGATGAGGTATATTATAAAGGGCCTTGAATAGACTTTATTTTGAAGGCAGTAGAAAGCCTCTGAAGGGTTTTGAAGAGGAGATGGCATCACCAAGTACAGGCTGGGGAGAGACTGAGAACAAGGAAAGCAGTTAGGCTGCTGGAATAATTCAGGTGAAAGTTGATGTGGCCTATAGTAAAGCTTTCATTCAGTAGGTAAATTGAGTACCTACTATGAACAAAGAATTGTACTAGATTCTTAGGTATCAAGAATCAGTTGTTAAGCTAGAAGGAAAATGGAAGTTTTGAAAGATTTTCCTTGAATATAGTATATTCCGTGATCTTAGAAATATTATTGGCAAGACAGAGATGCTATTGACAAGAATAATTGACAAATCTAGTGAGTTTATTTTGGCTAGGCAATGTCTTAAGAGGTCCTGGTGTTGCACTGTAGGATAAGCACTGAACGGTGAAGTTGGTTTGAATTGAAAGGTCTGTGGTTCAGATTCACTCCTGGGAAACCCTATACAGGGCCACTATGAGTCAGAAATGACTTGATGGCACTTAACAATATCTTAGGCAGATTACAAGTATAATGTCTTTTAAATTTCAAACCAGTCCTATGAGGTAGTTAACTCTTATTCCCATTTTGAAATTGAGGAAACTGAGGCTTAAAGAAGTGTTAAGCCTTTTACCCAAGGATTTGCTGTTGACTCTTATAGTTAACTCATACAGTCAACTGTAGAAACCAAGCCGCTATACTATTGTGCCTTTCAGAACTAGGAAAGTTGACAGGAGCAGGTTTTGTTTGTAGGTGTGTTGAATTTAGAGGGTTTAGCATCTAATGATCCTCTTCTTTATAGGAAGGTAGTATAGGGGTAGAGTGGGGGCCCAAAGGATGGAAGTGGGCAATATGGAAGAGTGGAAGGGAAGTCAAGAAGGTCTTAATAAAATTTTCTATTCCGGCAGAAGTGAACTGATCAGCTCCTAAATGAGCCTACCAGTTTATTTTGCGTAATTATCTGATTTGAAGAAATGTATGCCCCTGAAATCCCAGCTGTCAATTAAGTGGCTAAAGATAAGTGTACCAGAGTTTGAAACAGACTTAGATTATCTTCTACAAACTCCATTTGTCAAATGTGAAGTCTGCTTTTCTGTTTTCCTTTCCAATAGGGTAAATAATGCTCAGAACACTGGGGATGAAAATAAAACCTGTGTTTTGATTTTTGTAGCCCTCCCAGGCCCAATACTTCAAAGCATCTTACCTCTGCTCAATATATATTACTTGGAGAGGATTGAGGAAACTGCCCTCAAAAAAGGTAAGTGTCCTTTCTGTTTCTTTCTCAGTCAGTGATTGTAAACAAGACACCATGATGTTCTTAGGTAAATATGATCCCTGATACTTGCGTAGAACTTCATTCTTTTCAAAAAGTACCCTTACAATTTGTTTTCTTGATTTGGACGTGCAAGCTCATGATTTTGAGGGACATCCCAATCAATTGGCTTAATATTGTTTCTTAGTACTTCTAACTTCATTGTGTTTATGTAGTGCCTGCAACCCAAAAAAAGAGCAAGCGGCCATCCAAGGTACAAGTGGTATCTATTCACCTGGAGCAGCGGAGGAAAGACAGAAATTTGAGGAGAAAGTCAAATTTGTGTCTGGTTACTTTCATGAACCTTTTT